TGTGAGAATGTGAATCATTTTTTAAGAAATAAGAATTTATTAAAGATCCAAAGGGGCCAGAACTAAAAATATAACAAAAGTAACCTACAAATACCAGGGGTGGTAGCCTTTATTTATCCTAGAGGATCTACGAACATTTAATTGAATTGTTTTAACATCATATCCTTTTATCAAATAAAGTAATGTAATACAATTTTATAAAAGAGAAATAAAGAGGACTTTGGTATAATCTCATGTGTATATTAATGCTATAATTGGTTCAGATATTTATTGGATGGAATCAAGAAATATCTGAACTTGATTCAATTAATTAAATGACATAAGTTTAATATCCGAATTTGATCTGTATTCTAGTTATATAATTCAACTTCTGGATACCATTTACACCCCTATTTTATGTTCCTCCAATAGGTTTCCTTTGGAAGTAATTGATAAAATTTTATATAACCAAACAATCACTTAGGCCCTGTTCGCATTTCTGTAAGTTATTTACTTGGGTAAATACACTTATCCAGGTAATTATTTCCTAGAAAAGAATTACCCAGGTAAGTGCATTTACCCATGCTCTTTTATTTCCCATGTAAATAAGGCAATGACCATTTTATCCACAAAAGCTCATTATTATAAGAGGCATTTTTGTTCATTTCAAGTGTTGACAATTTTCCCCCAAGGTGGGAAAGTTATTTACCCCCTTACCCAAGGTGAGAAAGGGGGGAAAGTTGGTCAATGGGATTTTGATTCCTATTGACCAAAATCCCATGTTCTTTTTTTTTTTAGATTTATGTGGGGATTAGGGAAAGTTTATTTTCCTGGGTATCACTTACCTAAGTCCTGCAACTAGTAATACATAGACAAGCAGATCAATATAACCATATCTTTGAGGTGGTCTAACCTCTCTCCTTGTTTTGCCTCTAACAATAGAATATTGCTCCCCATCTTCTTTCTCTTGTACATGTTCTTATATTTCAGTAGAAGTGGGCACTTGGACTGATGTAAACTAAGGTGAGAAAGAACTTCTAACTTCTAACTCCACATTTTTCTTGAACCTTGTGTTTTATCTGCATTACAAAAAATGGAAGACTCCTTTTTTGGTGAAGCATAGTAGATTCATCAAAAGTAGCATCTCTGCTAACTATGAATTTTGGTGATTTAGGATTAAGACACCACAATCCGTATTCCTTCACACCTAAAACATAATTAAGAAATATGCATTTATTGGCCCTAGGCTCAAGCTCACCTTCATTAACATGTGCATGTGCTAGACAACCAAATATTTTCAAATTTGAATAATCAGGAGGATTTCTAGACTATATCTCTTCTAGAGTCTTACAGTCAATGGTAGTAGATGGAGATCGATTTACTAGGTGACAAGCCATATTAACTACTTCCGCCTAAAAATCCTTGGGGAGACCAACATTTGACAACATGAACATTGCTCTCTCTAATAGATTTCTGTTCATATGTTTTGCAACTCCATTATGTTGTGGTGTTTTGACAACAGTAAGATGCCTTCGTTTTTGCATAACTCGTTAAATTTATTTTCACAAAACTCTAAACCATTATCTGTTCTCAATCGTTTGACTTGCTTTCTTGTTTGCTTTTCAAGTAATGTTTTCCACTGTCTAAAAGTCACAAATACATCATTCTTATGCTTCAAAAAATAAACACATACCTTCCTAGAGTAGTCATTGGGGATGGTAAGAAGACATCGAGCACTACCCTTTGATAGAACTTGTGAATCATAAATTTCAATGAACATAATCCAAAGTGCACTTTGTCCTATGAACGGCTATATTGAAGCTGGTTCTTTTTTGCTTCCCGAAAACACAATGTTCATAGAAGTTAAGCTTTTCTATACTTTTGCTACAAAGAAGACCTCTTTTGCTTAATATAGTCAGTCTTATTTCACTCATATGTCCTAGCCTTATGTGCCATAACTTGGTGGTATCAAACTCAAATAGGGATAATGTAAAAATTGCAACTAAACCTGTGATAGTAGTATCCTATACCGTATGTAGACTTCCTATCCTCATGTCTTTCATCACAACAAAAGCACCATTATTGACTTTTAGAACTCTACCTTCAGCTGAATAGTTACACCCATTGGCATCTAGAGTGCCAAGAGAGATAAGATTTTTCTTTAAATCTGGTACATGTCGTACATTTATCAATGTCCTCACAACATCATGCATTTTTATTCGAATTGTTCCTTTTCCCATAGTTTTACAAGAGACATTGTTACCCATCAATACAACTCCACCATTAATAAATTCATAGGTGGAGAACCAGTTCCATTGGAACACGTGGTAGAAACAACCTGAATTCAGAATCCATTCATCCTTAGATCTGATTTTGTCATTTGTCACTAAAAGAACATCAACATTCTCATCCTCAATTACAACACCAACCTCTGTAGAATTGTTTTTTTTCTTATCTTCATTCTGGTTTTTGTTTTTTCAACTTATAACATTCTGACTTAATGTACCATTTCTTGTGACAATAGTTGCAAATCAAGTTCTTATGCCTAGATTTTGATTTAGACTTCAGTTTACTATTTGAGCCCTTATCCTTAGACCTCTCTATTGCAAGCAATCCAGAGTCCTGACTATCATCCCTATTTATAGTCAGTTTTTATCAATCACTTCTTTAGAGAGTGATTATTTGTTAACATTGTCTGTACTAATGGTGTCTCTTGCATAGATGAGAGACTCTTTAAAAAACTTATATGAGGGTGGTAAGGAACAAAGTAATAAAAGGGCCTAGTCTTCATCTTCAACCTTAACATAAATATTTTGTAAATCTATGATAATAGAGTTAAATTCATCAATATGAGATTTGATAGGTGTACCTTCATCCATATAAAACATGAATAGTCGTTGCTTTAAGTAGAGCTTACTAGCAAGAGGTTTTGACATGCATAGAGGCTCCAACTTTAGCCACAAACCTGCAACGGTCTTCTCATGAATGATTTCTCGCAGAATTTTGTTTGATTGTAGTAACTAAATCATGATTAGGGCTTTAAAGTTTAACTCCTCTCAGTCTTCATCACACATACTTGCATGTTTCTTTTCCTTCCCATACAGAACTTTGTATAGTCTGTCTTGTTCCAAAATGGCGCGCATCTTGACTTGCCAGATACTGAAATTGATGCTACCGTCAAACTTTTCAATATCAAATTTCATTGGTGACATTACAAGAGCCAAACAAAAAATAGGGCTCTAATACTAGTTTGTTATGAAAAACAGATTCAAATGGAACCTAAAATAAAAATAAAACAGAGATAAAAAGAAACAAGTAAACAGAGAACACATAAATTTATGTGCTTTGACTTATAACCTACGCCCATGGGTGTAGGAGGGGCAGAAATTCACTATGTAATTAGTAATGGATAAGAAATATAAAATTGTAAACTCACAAAAAAACCCTAAACCCCAAATACAAAGTATACAAGAGAGAAAACCTGTAAAATACATAACCCCTCCTATTTGGTTCAGACCTATATGCTGAATATGGATCAGGTCCATACTACCACAAATCACTATAAAATTTTTCCTTAAATGCATGGAACGCCATGATTTCATGGTTTAATCCCAGCGGTACTCAAACTGGAGTAGCTGATTTCTACTCTACCGCCATCACCGTGGTGGTGAAGACGATGTGACAAAAGGGACCATATGGCCCATATGGTGAATAGGAATGGACATTGGTAAATGATGTGATGGTAATGCGGTCCAGGTCCATTTAACTACGGTGACGGTATGTTACAGGTGACAACCCTAGCTAGAGATGGCTTGAGTTAAGGCCACATAACATTGTTAATTTGTTATGTGAGGGTGGAATCCATTCCCTTTTCCCACCAAACTGGACTGCAGTACTCACTGTAAGTGATAGGCTGATAGCCTGGCCATCACTCATCAGAGTTCGTCATCTCTGACCGTAGCCTCCACGGGAAAAAGGCAAACCTAGCGAGCCCCGTAAAATGTAAATTTGGTATTAAATGAAGCTGTTATTAAACGTTTGGGACAAAACAACTACCCGACACCGACGACACGTTAACTGAAGTAAAGTATCGGTCGGTAAGAAGCTCCAATGCAAATCCCATCCAACTCCAACGGTGTCCTACCGAAGGGACATGGACGTCAATATCAAGAAAGAAGAAGGGCTGTACTGGTTATTGCGAGATAAGATAAACACAGATGCCGAGACCAACGAGCAACGAGCAACGAGACGACCAGACGGTGTCACTCGCAAAAGAAAAAAAAGAAAATAATAAGCGAGGGATGTTGTTGAGGAAGAAGGACGAGGGACGGACCCCCGAGACCGAGTGTGTGATGGATAGATTGGATCATTTGACAAGCGAGCCTTACGTACGACGCTCGACACGTTTCCTGACACCTCCACCACACAATTAATCACCTACAGTGCCCAACCCCTACTGCTACTCCGTTCCATTCTTTCTCTCTCTCCTGCACCTTTAAGATCTTATTTACATAGAGAGAGAGAGAGAAGAAAAGAAAAGAATTAAACGAAAGGAGGAGAAAATATATATTAACGGGAAAAGAAAAAAAGAATAAGAGAAAGGAGAAGTTACAGATTTCCATTTTATTACAAGAGAGGATCCAAGTAAGCAAGTGGGTGTATAATTTGGGGCAAGTCGAGAGTGGGTAGCTTCTCGTCCACATCCCATTAGTAGAGAAATCTCCCCATTTTTAGTAGAAGGAATTATCAGTTGCTATTGCTCATCAGCTTTTTCTCGCTTCCTCTCTTTTCCATAAATCGCTCTTCCTCTCTATACACTAACCAAGCAAACGCAGTCTTACCATTCCATTTACCCACAACCTTACCTTCTTGCCGTAAAAACACGCACGCGCACACCAGCAGACAGTGCGGAAAGAGATATCTGATATATATATATATATATATATATATATATATATATTTATATATAATAAATATATATATAGAGAGAAAGAGAGAGAGAGAGAGAGAGGCAATTCAAGTCTGTCGCTCTCTTTCTCGTGCTATTTGTTCCTTTTCTTTATTCGGGATCGACCCGGTGGTCGGCATTGCTGTTGTTCAGAGCCTAGAGAGAGAGTGAGAGAGAGAGAGAGGTGAGAGATGGGAAGAGGACGAGTAGAGCTTAAGAGGATCGAGAACAAGATCAACCGCCAGGTGACGTTTTCCAAACGGAGGAACGGTCTGCTCAAGAAGGCTTACGAGCTTTCTGTGCTCTGCGACGCTGAAGTTGCGCTCATCATCTTCTCCAGCCGCGGCAAGCTCTATGAGTTCGGAAGCGCCGGGTACGATCAACTCAACTCCTCTCTCTCTCTCTCCCTCTCTCTTGTTTGATATCCTTGTATGGAGCTTCATTTTTTTCTTCTATTTTGTTCCTGTGAAAGAAAATGACGTTTTGCTTTTATAGCGATGGATCTCTTTGATTACTTGATCGATCTGTGACTTTTTTGGATTGTGTTTGCTTATTTCCTTCTAGCTTCCGTTTCGATTTTTTCTTGTTTCGTTTTGGTCCTTTTTCTCTTTTAATTTTTTTTTCCTTCAATTCTGTAGTTCTAGGATTGCAAAGAAAAAGGAAAATCTTCTGAAGTTATGAACTTGCACCACCTGTTCTGCAGTTCTGGTCAATACTCATTGTGAAGAGTGCACTAAATAAAAAATCTGATCGTCCCTCTCCGCTTTTTCTTGATTCTAACATTCCGGCAGAAATTATAGTTTTCGCAGACTATTAGTTATCTTTCTTTACCGAGGAAGGTGAGGTCTACCAGTGTCATCTAGACACGTTTCACTGTCCTTTGTTGACTCTCGTCTGCGTTTCCTTCCTCTTTCTTCCGGTTTTCTTCTCTATGCGGTTCGCCGTACGAGCTTTTCCCTCGCGTTAGCGCGTACGGATGGGAAAAAAGAGTTGAGGATGTTACGAGAAACTCAAATCGGCGTTCGGTCCAGGATCAAGAGATCCTCTGGTTCAGCTGCAGCTTAATGGAGAACCAGGGATGAACTCGAAACAATACAAAAATATTTTTTGATAACGACGTTTCCGTTAAAAAAAAAAAAAAGAAAAGAACTTACTACCTTTCTGCCTTCTGTTTTTCTCTAGATAAAGCCTGGTTGCAGCGCTGAAATTTGGTAGCACAATCAATATACTCTTACGTCGATGAGATTCAATTCTAGGTCTTTCATCCTTTCATCCCACCATTGGTTAATTTCTCTCTCTTACCCTCGACTTTCCGTCCTTTTTCTCACCCCTCTCTCCAGCAGGACTCTGAAAATCAATCCTCCCTTGTATTTATTGTTTTCCTTTCGTTTTCTATTGGTTTATTTAGCTCCTTATTTTGTTTGTGCAAGTATTCCTTTATTTGGCTTTAGGAATTAGATTCTTGGATATTGAAGAAAGTTTTGCTCTTTTTTATATTTCATGAACTCATGTTACTGGGAGCGGTCAGACTGGAGCACTGAGCACATCTTTCCCTAAGCCATAAACATTATTGATGTGTTGCTTCACATTAACTTAAGAGCCACGCTTATTAGTTAGTTAGGTCTGAAACTTTAATTTAGGCTTTTCCCCCGTTTTTATATGAAAAGATAAAACGTTTGTAGATTTTGGATAAATTACACTAGGGAGGACGGAAGCGAGTCTCATCAGATTGCATAAAATGGTAGTTAAGTCCTTCGTTTCATTTTCTTTTACTTTTCAGGTGATATGCGACAAAGTTTTTCAAAATAAAGTAAAACTACAATGAGGAAGGGAAAATCGTGACTCAGATTGTATAACGCGGTAAAGACTGCATATAAGCAGGAGATGCTAGCATATATGGAGCATAAGACAAAATAATATAAATAAAACTGAATTGAACTGCGCTGTTATATGGATGTTTAGAAAAAAAAAAAAAAAACTAGATGATTGCTGGGTTTCTATCTCAGATATGTTTCGTGATCCTGGTAAATCGATGTTTTGTTTATTCATTGTTTAACTATTTTAGAGAAAATGGGCCTTTTCATTTCATTTATCAGTATTATCATATTCTGTCATTGTTGTGATTTGTGATCCAAGTCTAACTAGCCAAGCCCTAGATTCAGATTAGCTGCTCTCTCTCTATCTCTCTCTCTCTCTCTCTCTCTCTCTCTAATTGATGATTATTTCATTCATTTTAAGTTTTTCCTATACTTCGCTTTTTCTTGTATGCGTGTTGAGTGATGGTGGTGGCACCTATCTTTTTCTGCATTCTTTACCAGAGAGAATGGGAATGTCATTTACATTCCCTCATCATATTTGGTGGGAATATCTGCCATGTTTTAGACATCTAAATCCCTTATTATCTCTTTTCAACAATTACGTTTTTGGGTGCAATAAAGCCCAGTGACTTTCATCTCGTGGCGATTTATCATTGAATGTTTCATTTGAGATTTTGAGGTCAGCTGAATCCATTCCAGAAGCTGCAGGATCATTGGGTTAAGGTGACCACTGGGACAAACAACCCATGTTTCTCCAGTATGATGAGTTTGAACAAGCCAAACCTGGTTTGAAGCTTTTATTTCCACTAACCAAATGCAATATACCTTGGAAGTTCTATGATCTTGCCAAAGCATATGCTTATTAAGGTGATGTATTGAAGAACCAAAACCAAGCTACAAGACTATAAACTAGCAATGGTTGAAAATGTTCTAGAGAAGTTCTTGTCCCGTAGTAAATAAAGGGTGTACGAGATGGATGAACCTAGGATTTCGATTAAACCATTCAATTTGCGCCTTTTTAGCATCTTTACTTATTACTTACCCTCTCTCCACGTGCCCAATCTTTTCTTTCATCTAGTGGTTAATGTCTTAATTTTTTTTTCCAATTTCATTTAGTTTATCGCTTTATGCGTAATTTTGGTTTTTGAGTTCCTATTAAGTGTTAAGCTTTTGTGCCTTGTTGCTGATCAGTCAATTTGCGTATGTATTTTACATGCCTCCAATATCTCTCAATTCGGTGTCTAAACTCAAAACTATTCTACTTGGTACATTGAATCAAAGTTCAAAATCTTTAACTTATTTTCTCAGTTGATCTGTGTATCAATAAAATTGATGCGCATAAAAATAGACATGTAAAAAAATGCACATAAACAAATACGTAATTTTTATTTGAGTGTTGCGGATGTCTATTCTTCCCCAATCAATATATGATAATTTTGGGTATTTAGAAAATTATCAAAATGGTGTTATCCTAATTCCTCATGTCAACTAAAGATAATGCAAAAAAATTCTTTACACTATTTTTCCTGATTTATAAGGTTATGTCCATTAAATAATAAATCTGGCACAAACCCCATTTTTATGTTAGTGCAATATTTTATATTTTATTAATTAGGAACAAAAAAACCGTTATACTTTCTTTATGTTATTAGCTCTCTATAATCATGTTGTTGGAAACATAAAAGCAAAAATAAAAGAAGCAAGTATTGTGTTGTCTTTTTAAAAAATCATTTCTTCTTTGATAGAGTTCTCAACAATAATTTTTTTTAAATGAAGGAGTCAGCAATAGATGTATAAAAACCATTTTAGAAAGTATTTGGGCAATGGACTAAATATGAAAAAGGACCTAATGGGCACGATTTTATCCTAGGAAGGAGCATTTTTGAAAAGATTTTGGTCCGCATTCCTTAACTGTAAGTAAAAATTATTTGGTGGCAGTTCTTGGGGGTACGAAAAGCTAAATAAATGGGAATTGTAAGGTTGATCATTGAAGGAGACCAGTAGTAGTAGGGTGGCTGAAAAAAGATGAGGGGGTGGTTTGGCAGTTCAGAAATGAAATCAGACGCTTTAAGTGGCTCTTAAAAGATTTGAACATTCAAATAAGATGGGTAAGACGATTTGTTAATTGTCTGACGGATGGTTTGGCTAAAATGTATTGGACAAAATTGTAATAATGTGGTGGGCTGTGTGTGTAATGTAATGGTTTAATTCATTTGTATTCACAACCTCTTTTTATTTTAATCATTCAATGAAATGTTTTCTGTGTTGCCTTTCTTTGGTGGAAGAAATATGGAAGTGCCAAATGAGCTAACATAAACAAAGACATTTAGAACTCAAGTGATATTAAAATATTCCTGCCCTCTATGATGCTCCTAATGATTTAACCTAAATCTTGATTAGCCCTTGGATATAAACGCTGTCTATATATGATTCCTAATGCCAAATGTATATACACATCACCAGACAGGGCCATTGAAGATATCATCATGTTCTAGGCTTCAAAAAAAGAAAAAAGATATCATCATGTTCTATAATAAACTTATGGATACAAATATACAAAATGCAAGGTGAAGCAGGTTGAATTCATTTGTGGTCTATAGTAATACACATCCTGTAATCTCATTAGAGATATGGTGGAGAGATCCAGAAAATTTACATGAGATAACTTTGTTTTATAGTAATAAAATAGGTGTTTTTTTTCAAATGAAGAACATGAGAAAATTTCCATTAATTTATAGCAGGATTAGTGAGGTGCTTTTTTGCAAGGTGTGCTCTGGTTGCTAGATCACATGCTTTTGGACGTTTATATCTAACTATTATCAAGTAATATCTTTAAGTCTATTGTTAATCAGTCACTCCAATCGTGCACATAATTAATGTACCGCTGCTATTGAACCATTCTATTAGTAACTATCTTAAATTTATGGTTGATGATTTTTTTTTTCGTGCATGCTCATAAAATTTCCATGGGTACATCAGAAAAGAATTTCCTTTCCACAGAAGAAGAATGCTAATTATGTTTGTCTGTGTCTTTCCTAGAAGTTGTACTAATTCAATTGCAGAAGATTACTTTGTTTCTGGTAATGCAAGGATTGGGAATTCTACTAATTTAAAGAAGGAATATCACATGCCTAGAAAAAACGTTAGCTCATCACTGACCATGTTTGTTAAAGCTGATCTAAGCCAACTTAAAACTAAATTAATAAACTCAAAGTTGATTACAAACTTAACCAACTAGTACTATTAGTTAACTGTTATTTAACAAGAATATATAAATTGAGAATTTCCTTTTGTATAAGCCTTTATGTTGGATCTTGCATGGTATTATGATGTCTTCTTTCTGCCTTAGAATTTCGTTACTGATATAAACTAAAGATTCATAACCTAATTGGAGTTTTTAGGTGGGTTGGTCATTGCTTATCAACCAATTGTGCCGAGCCCTGAGAGGAGTCATCTCAGAGGGAAGAATAGATAATTCCAATTATATCTCACCATTAATATGGTGCATCCACTTCATATGGTTACAGTGCAAAGTTTGTTTCAAATATTTGCAGCC